GCCAGATGCCATCAGTGACAACTCGCTCTGGTAGAGAATAAACCAACTTCCAGATGAGGAGAAAATTAGGAAAAGACACTATAGGTAGATAGGATATATATTGCCGAAATCATTAAACTGCATCATGAGGCAAGCCCCATACTTGAAATATTTAAGACTAAATGAAAAGCGGTCGACCAAAGAACACATTGCACCGTAATTGAAGGCAGACATCAAAAGGATGAGTGGCACTTGTAAACAAATGTAAAGGAGAACCAAGGACCGAGTAGGTTGAAGAATCCTGGTGGGTGGCCTATGGTCCTCCATGGGTGGTAACAGGCGTGATTACGTAATATATTTCGATCTCACTATCAATAAAATGTTTAAGGTTAGGGAATTTAACAGAGATATACATTTCAACGGGCACCCTTTATGGTTATTATACTATAAAGATAAAAATATATGGTTATTCAATAATAGTAATTAAATGCAATGTGAATTTTTTTAGTATCTTAATTTCACCATATTCCGCATTAAATAACATTCTTAGTCTAGTCTATCTTATATATGCATTTTCCTGAATTCTGAAGACATATAAAAGACTCTCAACAATGAGTACCAAATTAACAACTTTAAACCACTTTTGCATACATGATAATACATATTCGCTTTGGTTCAACTATTAATTAGAAAGTTATAATCTATTAGGAATAATCCAATGTTCACATTCCTTATTATTTTCCGTTCTTATTCTTTGAATCTTGTCCAAAAATATGAATAATTACAAGACTATCTTCGATTTAAATTCTAAAAAAATAACTTATAATAACCTTAAATCATGATTAACCTTAAGTGTTAACAGTAGTCTATTGATCTGTACTATTTAATAGAATCAGTAATTTGGAATAATTTGGTTTTATTTTCATTTATTTATCAATTGTCCTTCTTAGTATGCTAGTTTTCTATCCCTGAAGTATTTACAGAGTATGTGTCTTTTTTCGTCTTTCTATCAATTGTTAAAATGACGACTCTTTTATGGAAAACAACGATTTATCATTGATTTTGTCTTGTCGTTAATTAGTCTGAAAAGAAAATCCATATTCACACCATAATTATTTTGTATGAAGAAAACACATACATAAACACTTATTTATGTGACGAAGTTTTAAAACGGGAAACTAATGTGACAAACGAACCTACTGGTTTTGAACTTGAAATAAGCAAGTAGAAGTATTACATTCAGCAAATTGTCAAAGAAATTCAAAAATTATTTAAAAATGTAGCCTATAGATTATACATTCTGATTATTGTACGTTATTCATCATCACACTGTTAATGACTTCATTCAAAGATAATATAAGGCAGAATGTCTGTGAGGACTCAACTTTCTTTTAGGGCAAATTATTCTAAGATTAGAAGTATATATATATATATATATATATATATATATATATATATATATCACTAACATACTTATTAAAATCGTTTTTTTACACCTCCCTTACATTTGTATGAAATAAGATAATAAACTGACTAATTTGACGTGGAACTTACTTTTCAAGCAATTCACTTGGCACGAGATTAAGTTTATATTAATTAAACGGTATTAGGAATAATATGTCAATCGTCCCTTGTTAGTTTATAACAGTGCAAAGGACTTCTCATGTTAATATTTTATATTATGCCATTCTTTCTTGATAGTTTTTTAGAAACTGTCAACATTTTTAGAAATGTAATTCAGACTCAGATTCCCTTTATGCACGGTATCATTTATTTTTATGTAACTAATCATCCGACCTTTGATGATAGCTCTTAAGATTTCCTAAATGAATTCAAATATGATTATTTTGTAATCAACTAGCCATCGATTGAACTACAATAAATATTGTCCAGTAAAATGTCATAATTGAAGTTCATATTAATTGTATTAACTATATTACTTAAATAAACGTTGATTAGTGTAACCTGACTGCTATAAGTTTTACAAGTGATATTTTTTTAAACAAAACATTTAATAACCTACCGACCGAAATTAACGACTAACTCATACGTTTGTGACACTTATTTTCCAACTGCTCGAGTATCTCAATAAATCAACCTATTCTAAATTTGTTTAAACTGAATAATTAGGAACGTTAATAGAACATTTTCACGAGTTGCTATAAATGGGTTACAAATCATTGTGATTCAAAATACTGGAGAATCCTACCATAAATACTTTAGTTCTTGGCTTATTTTTATTTATCTATCCTTTGAAAAAATGAGCGACAAATATACAGGAATTCAAGCACCTCAAGTTGTGATGTATAACAAAGTTGTAGCAGCTAAACTGATGGACAACTTGTACAACTGAATACGAGTACCTGATACTGACTGTTAGTCATACTAATGAAATATACTTTGATTGGAATACATGCTGTAGTATTATACAATTGATGCTGTGAAATATCTATTCTCAACAAAATTTATAGGATTGAATCAAGTCTTTATTATCAGTCCCAATATATGAAAAAGCGTTCTCACTACACAACAATCGGAATTACCACCTCTTAATAAACTTTTATATTGGTAATGTATTTCTCAAGTCTACTCATTTATATTTTGTTGGTTTTTGCGATAACTTTGAAGATGTCGTAAAAAAGTCCTATTGTATCAAGGTAGTCATTGACAGTTGACTGTGCTTACTTATTTCTAATTAATATCGCAACGTACAACATAATAATAGTAAACTATAGCAGAAATTAGAAATTTCAAAAACAATTTAGCGTCCCAAGCTAGACACCAAGTCTACAAATTGTCCCTGACTAAACGTTATTTTCAAAATATGAAATAGGATATTCCTTTTTTTATTAATCAGCTCTGTACTAAGAAACCATTCACCAAATAACATTGATATTTCTCCCCGTAATAATTTACTGTATTGATTTTTGCAATAATCCCCAAGTGGTTTTCATAAAAATACTCCTATACATCATTAAATATTTTGGATACCAATCAGAAGTGAACAGAATCCAAATTTACCGGGCAAACTTGCACATGTTTTAAAGCAATAACAGTCTCCTGTATTATAAGTCTTACTGACAAAAACAAGCCTTTAGTATTCACGATGGCACTATGTTGTCTCCTCCAAAATAATGTCATTCTCTTCACTTGCAAAGATGTTACTACATAGTTGCGTAGTATTTGGAAATTAATTTAATCTGAAGGTATTTTTGTCAAAAAGTGAAATCACTAGTTTGTCATTTCTCAGCAATAAGTATACACGAAATCCATGCAATCACGTGGTGAATACAGTCCATCTACACTAATTGGTCAGAATCTCCTGACATATTTTCATGAGTCTGTTTCCCGATACTCGTCAGATGTTTTTAAGCATATATCATAGTTTTCAGTTCACAGGACATTTTGCTAATAGTTGTTAATAACTTTTGAACATGCAAACAAATTTAAATAACAATTTGATATCATTGTTATTTAGCAACTCTAAATAGCTGGTAACATTCTATTATTACTAGATTAAAATTAAACAGAATTCTAAGCAAATTTGTCAATTTAACTGAATGATGAACGAAGACCAGAGAGTGCAATTATATAACTTTTGACTGGTTGCAGACTAAAAGTATGAGACATTACAACCTTATTTCTGCACCGTAAATGAAGACCTCTTAGAAAATAATAAACAGTTGTTATACAAACTATGAAAAAACTTCTTTCCATACTTAAATGTATTACGATCAAATCTGTTTAGTGGGAATGAGTGTTTTGCTGTATGTTAAGAATTTAGAAATATATGTTAAGTAAAACCTAAACTCCCAAAACGTATCACCAATCATCCGGACTAAATATACATTGGTTTACTGACGTTTTAGTTCTCTTGTCAAAATAATAGATATTGGCATACGATAACGCTGACCTTACATTTACTAAAAATTATTTTCATCCTAAGTTATATACATTAAATGAAATGCATCATGATCCAAAAACAATCTCGCTAACGCTGTAACATTTCAGAAGCCTTCAAGATCACGACCGCATTGCCTATTTTATGTTCATTTTCTGAAATACTGGAAACAACCGACACCGTTATGTCAACCAGGTGTGACGTAGATTTCATGCGTGTGTTCATATTAGATAGCTTTCCGTGGAATGTAAATTTATCAGTTTTTGAACAAAATCCCAGATGTTACGATGACGATTATATTTAACGAACACCTAAATATTAAAAGTGACTGAGAATAACAATCAGAACGTATCGTTTAGTCGGAAGATCCTTTCCTTTCTAGTTTAAAATCCTTTCGCAGTGTATATCCATGACGCAATCCCTAGTCATTATTACTGACTAATTTACACATAAATTCTTAGTCACAATGAGAAGTCGTGACTATGCCATGAGTGAGGTAGGTATCACTGATGATAATTACACTATATCGTTAACTGAGTGAAGTTATGGATCATTGGATGCCGACTTACGAATCTAAAGATAATGTGCTTACAATAAGCTCTGAAAGGTTTATGCCCAGTCCCCAGTAGAATCGTGAATGAACGCTACAGAAGTTTTGAACTACAGCGAAACAACTGTCAAGTGCTGTTCGGTTTCCAATAATTCTCCAGTTGATCAATCTTCTACGAAAAATACGAGATTATGATTGAACTTTCATTAATCAGTAAGGTAGTATAAAATGAATTAACGTCGTAGCATTTATCCTTTTAAGATTTTATTGTTGAAACTTTTGGTCTAAAACCATGTGAATCTTTAAGCGATGTTTCATTTCCTGTGGTTTCAAAATCGATTTAAACATTACATTTAGACCTGGTTAGAACAGCCTATTTTAATCTCAAAATTCTCATGCCTACAGAAGTGTTTTGAAGGACTGAAACTGACGACCTATAAGTTTCATATCCACCATACTGTTGGTCGAGATGGAGGACAGAAATGCCCACCAAACCCTAATTTACCCCGGACCCTGAGCATCGTATTCAGCTATTATTCCAAAAGAACGCAGGTTTGTTTGCACCCTAAAGTTTCAGACTTTCACTAAGGTTATTCAGTTTTATTCTAAAATAACTGAAATTAGACAAAAATATCAAACAATTGCTTACTGGGATGACAATTTATAGATTGCAAGTATGAATATGTCAATAAGTAACGATTTCGAAAAATTAAAACGATTTATAATATATTAACAATATTATACAAGTTGTGAAGATATACATATTTTCAAAGAGTAGATGAGAATAATATGTATTCAGCACATCGCTCTCCGCTGATATTCTGCCGTCGCTACAGTGTAATCTTCAAGACGGAAGTAACGACCTTCATTCTGTCTTAAAAATCTGTCACATAAAAGTATGAGACAAAAACAAACGTTTATTAATCAATGACAACTAAGTAGTGATTGAAAGGAACATATACATATAAATAATCTGATTCGGAGTATAAATTAATATTACATTTGTAATATCCCAATGGGTAGAAAAATCAGATTTTCTGACGTTTTGTGGCTTAGTGTAAGTCACTTTTTCAGAGAATAAATAATTCGGAGTAGTTTGAACTATTCTTTTAAGACGCGCCGTCAATAAAAATGTCCATTTTGAATGACTTGTACGTAAGGGTTCTGAAAAAGTTGAGCTTGTGCAAGCAAAATGTATTCATGACTCGCATACAATGTGTATATTTCTTTAAGGTGAAGTTATATGACAGTAAGGGAAATCCATATTTCATATTGAGTAATTTAGTTTTAGACTGGAAACCACTGAATAAAGAACGGAATTATTGTTCCAAAACAGATGACTACCTTATGGCTTTTTGAAACTGACTCCGCTTAATTATTAACAATATTTTACTTCCTTATTTCTGTTATTACATTTTAGCCGAAATATAAGGTGTTATGGAAGTTAGGAAACAGAAGCATCGTATGTTCCAACTTTATATACACCAATTGTCTATTTTTACATAAACTGTATCAATACGCACATACTCTGAGGTTTAGTTTCTTCTAATAACAGTTAACAGTTTTCATAAAGCTTCTTTTCTATGAAATTTTAAAAAAGCATGCACCAGTTATTCAAAAGTGATAGTTTGAGTAAGTCTTCACAGTAGTAACATTAAACACCTGAGAGAGCAATAATGGTAACATACACATAAATTTTGTAATAAAAGAAAACCTAATGACCCAAAAGACAATACTTACTGCAAGAATTCGTTGACCAATGCTTCTAGAACAGGCAGACTATTTACATCGACTTTGGTACAAGAAACCATGTCCCGAAGCTTAACTGCAATAGAAATACATACTGGGACTACAGTGAAACACATACAAACCAAAATAGTTATAAGTTGTCCATCGTATCTATTTGCAGGTAATAGATTAAAATAAACGATTTTAATATAATGGATATACTTTGATGAAAGCCTATAAGTTATAGTCGGTTAGTGTAGTTGTTACGGAAGACGTAAACCCTTGAGCTAGTAAACAACAAAAGAACATTCCAGTCTTGACAACAATGATAAGAGTGGGAATGGAACAATTTAAGTGAACTATGAACAATCTGAACAACTAATTACTCTGTCACTATTAAAATGTCAAACATATAAAGAATCAGCTAGTTTCTTTTCATCAAACTTATATCACCACTACCGTAGATTTATATGTAGACTTTCTGAGTTTCAAATAAACTTATATATAAAAAAACATAGCAAGGGTGTTAGCAGATTACTATTTATAACAATATTGGTGACATCGCTATGATATGGCACGCAAATATTTTACACCTGACTATAGATTGAAGCGATTCAATTTCCACTAACACGCCGCAACTTTATGACTCATAAGTTGGAAGATGAAAATCAACTTGATATGATTGGCTTTTCATCATTTAGATTCAGAATAACGGAACCATAAGCACATATTAGAAGTGTTTTTAAATGAATTCATTTGAACGCCCCCAAATGCCCTGGTACAGCGGGTGAAGAAAGTCAACTCTCTCCGAAATGCTCTCACATGGCCACGCGTATACAACCACTGACAGGGAAGTCCTACTCACTGCCTTCTCGTGGTGAGGATATTGTTCACAAAACTGAGAAGACGAAAAACGAATGTTCGGCGCTTTAACCGGGTTGATGGACATGGAAAGTCCACCTAGGGGAGTTGGAAAACCCTGATTCCAAATCAATGGTGCACATGGGCTTCAGTATTCTGAAGGAACAAATGGCGTATGAAACAATCGTTGGTCACCGGCTATTATGGGACTGTATCTCGTGATATTGCTCCACTGCCTTGTGGATCAGAACTTTAGGTCGAAGGTCCTGGGTGCGGTCCCCTAAGAAAACCACGTGGTTCGGTTTGGGCACCCGGGCAGTATCACAGCTCTCACACATATCAAGTGAGATTTGTGTGGCGCATATGCATTTGGTGCCTCCGTGTACCAATATATGTGTTAAAATAAATAAATAAATAAAAATCAACTAACTAAAATAAATTCTTCACTTCCTCGAAGACATTTTTGTCTTTTTCAAAAGCTACTTTTTATTCGTTAACAAATGGTATGTTAAATCAAAGCGCCGTTTAGTGATTTATGTGAAAAACTTGAAAACTACACACTGAATTGAAGGACGTACCAAATAGCCTTAATAAGTGAATTGAACCATAAATATCTGACATTCTTTTATCTGTGTGACGTTTTAAAAGTTCAGCATATTGTAACCGTTCAAATTTATATAGGAGATGAGAACCGATAATCAAATTAAAGTAATGCTGAATCCCAGCGAGAAATTCACGTCTTAAATCAGGTCTTATTGCAGGATTTACATTATGTTGAGAATTTTGAGGTTCAGAAGTGGGTTCAGATTTCACCTCGATTTCAGCACTTTCTAAGAAGTCAGACAAAAGGGTGGATATTGGTTGGGAAGCAGGAAGCTCATAAAGCTGCAAATTAACCAAATCAGTAAAATGAAATAAGATAAGCTTAAACAAACTTCGTAACGACTACAGAGACAAGTAAATTAACAAAATAATAAAAATCATTTTCGTCAAACTCAGTCAATGGCTGACTGAAAATATTGTTAGCTTAGCAAAAACATGCAATATAAAAACAAAGTGTGACAATGTTTGGAAGATGAATGATCGAATGCTTCAGTGAACTGGGACAATAATGAAGGATATAATAAAAACATGATGGCTTTTCCCCCAAAATGCCCTGGTACAGCGGGTGAAGAAAGTCAGCTCTCTCCGAAATGCTCTCACATGGCCACGCGTATACAACCACTGACAGGGAAGTCCTACTCACTGCCTTCTCGTGGTGAGGATATTGTTCACAAAACTGAGAAGACGAAAAACGAATGTTCGGCGCTATAACCGGGTTGATGGACATGGAAAGTCCACCTAGGGGAGTTGGAAAACCCTGATTCCAAATCAATGGTACACATGGGCTCCAGTATTCTGAAGGAACAAATGGCGTATGAAACAATCGTTGGTCACCGGCTATTATGGGACTGCATCTCGTGATATTGCTCCACTGCCTTGTGGATCAGAACTTTGGGTCGAAGGTCCTGGGTGCGGTCCCCTAAGAAAACCACGTGGTTCGGTTTGGGCACCCGGGCAGTATCACAGCCCTCACACAAATCGGATGGTTTATGTGACTACCTAACAAAAATATGCTTCCGTTTATTGAAGACGGTGGTACAGGCGACGATCTATTACAGTGATATGAATTCAGAACATCTTAGTTCCTCTCTTTAGGTTTAAATTGATTTTAATTTGACAACCACTTTAAATTGGAGTAAATTAATGACACCTCGATACAAAATGGAACACGACTACTAAACAGTTACAGGAAATCTGACTTACACGAGCTTGACGAGTAATCAAGTCCCAGTCATCCACGAGCCATGCCTTTAAAGATGGAGGTATAGATACCATTAGTTGTGGCTTTGAAAGTAAACTGTCATCCTAACAAGATAATAAGAGAAAGGTTAGATAGGTATCTGCACACAACAGAATGAGACATAGTCTGTCTCGGCAATTAACATGAATCTGCCGAATGCTAAGAATATATGAATTTTATTCGGAACCTGATTCACACTGCAAGAGACAGAACTTATTTCATTGCAGATGTACTGACTGATGAGTGAGATATTTGAAAATTCAGCTTCGTTAACACTGGGTTTATTATCACATGAATCAGAATCGCAGAGCTACGGGTCTAGGAAGTGTACGAAGAATCAAAACATAAGGCATAAGTTAACGTTCTGAACACTAAAAAAGTATGTAAGCCATTGCACTACGGAATACATAAACGAAACAACCATACGACTGAGTTGTTCTAAAAATGTTCCAAAAATCACGAAAAAAAACTCCTGACTTCAAAAAGTTAGCTTTTCAGATTTACATTCTCGATAGATTTTATTCCTGATGTCGCCCGACTTTTTCTTCTTCTGCTTGACACAGTAGTAATGTTGGATACACCGTTAGATTCTTCAGGAGGCTTTGAAGGTGCCTTGACATCTTCACTCTCCTTCACTTCTGTCGTCACAGGCGTGCTTGGTTTTTGATCTGCTTCACTGTTACTTTTAGACTGCTTTGCTTTAGGACTCTCCTCTTCTATAAGAACAGTAAGTGAAGTAACCCAGAAGTACAACCTTGTTTTAAATGACCAGGCTTCAGAGTCCGCTCCACATCCTTTAAAACTTCCGGAGGTGGTAAAGATTGTGACTTTAAGTCAGATTTTCTTAAGACTTTGACTTTTCCAGACCTTCTACAACCCGTTCGAAACGTTTAGTAGGGAACATAATAATTTACATTTGCCGTTCCAATTCCTTCTGTTTTTTTAAACCCTCTTCATTATACTTGAACATACGCTTGTCAGTTACCCACTCATCCCAACTATTATCCACAAATAAATTTGATTACTTCCTTACTTCTTATTCCAACCTTGATAGTGTACGAAATACATCACTCCATCTTCTTTCACTTTGACATCCAGACACTTAGCTTCATACATAAGAGGTCCATGGAAGCAAAGAAGTTTTTCACCTATGTAGATAAGCTTATGTAAATTGAAAACGAAAATCCCACCTGGTTCATACTTCGGTTTCAATTCTACATTTGACATAGTAACGCAAGAGTTGAGATAAGCGGCATACACTACCTAAAACTTATAAAACTAGCTGAAGACAACAATTTCATTTTCAACCTCTGCTGAATAGCCCTTAAAAAATTTTGAAAGTTTGTTGAGCCTAACCACAGGATGAGGAAGTCCTGAAAGAATTGTAAGGTAATCAGGTTCTAGACGGTGGCAATACTAAAAAATGTAATATGAAAGGAAAGATAAAAAGGTTTTCTACTGATGCTTCTGAGGACGTTTCATTTAATCACTGCGATTGACAAGTTACTGTCCTGTTTCACCCACTGACACATCAGTTTAATTTCTTCCATAGGTTTATGACAACGAACCATTATGATACATTCGTATAAAGTGGTGTTTTTATCTTATGAACTATTCTCTACAGACTGTTGTGATTAATTTTGGACTTTTGTGGACGCGCATTTCCGTATTTGTGACTAGATGTCAATTTTATCTCATCCTAAATCCATGAAATATTCAAACCGACACAACAGTTCATATAGCGTTTAGTCAATCGTTGTAACACGACGCTTAACTGATAGCTCAGTTTAGATAGCACATAACGTAACACAGACTTCACTCACCTGATGTTATATGTATGGTCTGTTGTTGCAAGGTATGTAGCATACGTCCGTCTCTGAATTATTTCTCATAAAACTCATTTGATTGCAAGTTTCCAAATGTTTTTGATTATTTGACAGGACTAATCCACAAGGTGTCTGAAATGAACATGGATATATGTATATATATTCGAGTCGGTTAACACAGTGTGACTAAAAACGTGACAAAGCCTAAATGTGTGAGTGAGATACCTTTTTGTAAAAATGTGTAAAACAACCCTCATGTCAGGTTTCGTAAGGTCAAAACCTAATGTCTTTCTTTAAAGGTTGTGTCAACACATTTTTTGACTCCTCTGTTTGTGAAGACACAACTGATTTTAGTTACCATAAAGTTATAATTATTTATCTTATCTACAGTTTTAGTTTCATGCTCTTCCTCTTGCCTATTTACAGCCTGTCATTAACTCTTAATTATGCTGTACTCAATCAATTTACTATTATAACGGCTAGACTGAGCGATTGTACCTTTTATTTGCTGAATTGACCATTCCCATAAGATAGGGATCACTCTGATCATTTCGACTTGAAGATCTAATGAGAAGATAATGTTTAGGTTTCTAGGATTGGTTTCAAACAGCAAGGCGAAAAGATGGAGGACTTTTAGTATTGGTTTTGGAGATTTCATTATTTGATCCATTCGTACCGACAATCTTTAGAACAGGATAAGAGGAAAATTTAGACAACCTTTCCGTTCACCAGGCTTTTGGAGTAACGAATTTAAGAAGTTTCGACAGATTTACTTGATGAGAGAACCACTTTCAAGTCAACTCTCACTTCAGAACCAGCCATTCTTATATAGTTACCATGATGACACAATGTTCAGGTATCAGACGCTCAAAATCGGTTTACAGTCTTACTTGACATAACCTGTAATGTCGTTGTATCCAGCTGACCTGTATTTCTGCTATGAAAATGAGTATTATTCGCTGTCATTACAAGGAACCAAAATTAAGCAAGCTAATTCTAGTTCATTTGTGCGGGTGTTAATTGTTTCAAGACGATGGCAATACTAAAGAATGTAATATGGAAGGAAATTCCTCTCATTCCACTCACGCGACCACATTATGGAAGAGTGTTTACAGAAGTTCTCAGCATTGAACAAAGGTTCATAGAATGTTATCGGAGTAAGGTGAAATAGGAAATATGAAAGTGTGTTGATGATTACAATACTGTCACTTCCCTTAAAGCGTACGAAGAAGAAGGCAATGATGAATAAAGTGAAAATAATTTTTGATTGTAAGGAAAGATAGAGATAAGTGAAACTCTTGACGATGTAGTGGCCGCTACCATGTCAAGCCCACACAGATTGCTCTAGCTCCTGGACAGACCAATCCATCCATTCTTCTTAAGCCACGTCTTTACTCTGTCACTTATTCGAATATTAACCCTGACTGCTTTTTATACAATCATATGTGCACCAATTGTTTATCCTATTTATCACGTGTCTGTAACTTGTTTTTGTCTGATTATAAATATTGAGTCACGCTTGGTTAAGTGGAGTTTGCTCACATGTGTTCAACGATCCGCTTCACTTCGCTTTCTCTTCATTGCTCTATTCACTTCGTTTCTCCGGTCCTCTGTCTGGATCAACGATTGTACGAAATGTACGTATCCATAATCCATTCTTGTGTTTCACTTATTTGATTCCGTCATCCACTAACGCGATCTGAGTCGACAACTATACACGAAGGCAGCTGGGATGCATATTTCGATAACAATCATCTTACAATCCAATTGGAGTCAGATAATGGACCACAAAAATAAGGCACGAACAGTGGGATAATCGTTTTACATCAGTTCCTGTTGTGGTCTGGTAATGACACTTGACCAAAAGTGTTCAACATGTCGTATTCGCTCAAACTAATAAGATGATCACCAGTGTTGAGTGTTGAGAAAGTTGTTTGATTCAGTGAGTCAATTACCAACACAAAGTTTTCCAGAGTGGACAATCTCAGAGGGGATAGGTAGGACGATTTCAAATCCTGTATATCCTGAAGAACAGTTCATGTGTGGTACTAAATAACCCCCACAATATGTAGTTTTGTAAGTCTACGACATTAATGCTGAGCTCACTAATGTTACTAGACGCACCCGAGCTGAAATCGTTCGGTCATGCCTCCACACCGGATTACCGTTTGGTACTCTGTACTACTCAGTCCTCTAAACTACTAACCAGTCTAGATCACATAGACATCTCGACAAACTGGTCTTCTTCTTGACACATCCTCGAACGCCTTCATTAATGACTCCTGTTTTGACTGTGTTTGCCATCCTTCCGTTGGAAAGGTGTTGCGTACAAAAGCACTGAACAAATGTGACATATTTACATGTTACACACTTTTGTCACCCCCACCTTCATAAAATAACCGTATCCTTTTTACACGTTTCAGACTTGTGTTCAGAATCTAGAACAACAATTCACTGAGCATCATCTAAGTGAACCAGTGCCACTCAGCAAACAGATTCTACATATCTGTAGAACGATATGTTTAGGATGTTAGACTTACAGTGGCACTTTGAAACCAAGTGGACAGTAACTCCTGTTAGCTCAGGTGCGTCGTCGTCTCAGTGTTTACCAAACAACTGAAGAGAAAACATTTACCCAGAATCAATGTTTGAGGTTAATTTAGAGTGTCGAAACACTTTTTCTTCAAGGGACCAGAAGGTAAAGGAGATTTGTTCGCAAGGTTGAACGGAAGAACATACAAAGCTTTTTTGAACATCTATGTCACTCTGTGAGTGCTTTCTAGTCACCCCGACGTCTGTTGTTTGACAGCGATACTATTCTTCGCTTGATTCCCTCCCTCTTGCACCCAACAAATTTTCATCCTTCGTAGCCGTATCTTAACATGTCTCATTCTTCTTTGACAGGACCGTTATTTTTCGGTTTTCGTCATGATTTTTTTGAATGAACTATGAGGATCTGCTGGAAACGCAAGGACAAGGTCAGTGTTCCGATTGGCGATTTTGTCACGTTATAAATAACAGGTTCAAAACAAACAATAGACAGAATATTAGTTTTAAGGATGTTGAGATTAGAAATCTATAAAATACCTTACAACGTTTGGTAAGGGTCTAAAATATTTTCTTTGTAAAGAATTTCAGGTTCGCAACTGTTCACCATATTCCGAATGCTCTTCTAAACGTCGTTAATAGAGCATCCTTGTCAAAATATATTGTTTGGAGGCCATACAGCGATTTGCTGATTGAAGATTCACTTCCGCATGGAAAACCAATCGTTTTCATTTAGTGAGCAGATAAGAAGCATCATCACCGATTTGTCTAAGCTTCTATATGTCTCGCTATTCATCCATTACTACCATCATAATCCTTGTAATTGTTATCTTTAACTGATTCTATTATGTATCTAATTTTTTAAATGCATATGTGGTCGGATTGGGATTACCAATTGTAGCGTGGAGTCGAGTTGAGGTTAACTATGAACACTGCTACAAAGAAACACGTGCCAAATGAATCAGAAGGCGAGGGTTGGACGTAACCAAATAGATCCATAAAATCCCCGAGAAGCCAAATATCAGAAGGCAATTAATGGACCAAGTCGATGTTTATTTGCTGGCGATCTCGTGGCATCGAAAGGATACCGAGATCGTGCCAGGATACAAGCTTAGTTACAGAACGTAACCGAATCCGCGCGAAGTTACAATCAAAGTGTAAGTAAAAGAATGGAAGCACAAAATAGCTGTCATTAGCACAGTCAAACAAAAGCACGTTAAAACAAACACTGGTACAGTTGGTTATAATAATAATTGTTTTTATTAAATCAGTCGTGTTCTCGTGATAAACGTGAGTCACTACACATACTATTCTTGTCCAGACTTTTGCTAATTGACTAAGTAAGTGTTTTTTCAAAGCCGAATTCAACAGGAATAAATTCACTCATTCAAAATCAAGATTTTTGAATCATCAGATGATTAACGAATTCACCAGCACCAGTTTTGACGAGTAGTTAGACTACTCCGATTAGATACGATAGAAGATCATGAAGTGTACTTAAACATCCAAGCGCTGCCGTAAACAGATACTTTAGCGTACACCAGATCGTTATAAAAAAGTGGGTAATGAGCATCATTATGACGTAAACATAAACATAAATGTAAATATCGGTTAATAAGATGTTTGCGTCGTATATCTTTTGACCCTAGGCCTAAAATAAAGCTGAAGTGCTTTGTAATCATACATAGAGTTCGGTTATTTAACAATGACCTTTCAGACAATGAGCACTGATGGAAATAATTGAGCCAGCTGATGTAGCTGTCTAATTAATTTGAAATGGTTGACAGCTGTTGGAAATAAATACTAATAAAGCTGTTGTCTTGCAAACAACTGCCTGAATAACCGAGACTATAGTGCTAAATGAGGTTACATAATGCACAATACAGAACATGACGAGTGAT